GCTCAAGACCTCTCTCTCTCTTTCTCTTCTTTCCCTGCCCCCCTCCTCAAAGAGCCTTTGCAACTTTTTCTGGGATTTGAAAAGTTCTGCGTCTTGACCCGGCTTCCGCGTCCTCCCCCCACCAAGTCTCCATCCCCGGGATCTCAAGGCCCTTCATCCCAGCTGTCCTATCCTGTGCTCTAGCCAGTGCGTGATTCAGGGGCAAGGGCAGGTGGAACCCTGGAAGATATCAAACACATGGGGAACGGAAGCCCTGGGCGTGGGCTGTGCCTGCTCCCTGGCCTCAGTTTCCCCACCACAGTGAGGGTGGAGTCAGGACCTGGGGATGGGCAAAACCAGAGAGTGTAGGGCGGTTGCCTGAGAAGCCTGTGGAGGAACGGGACCATCTTGTCTGCCTCACTGGAGACTGGTGCCAGCCCACAGGCTGGCAGGCCCTGGCTTGGCAGCCACAGCTATTATTTTTAATTTCATCTCAGACTATCACCAAACTGCCCTTTAAGCCCAGCCACTAGGAAGTGTGTGCTGTTTTTACCTTAGCACGCCTGCCTCCCCCACGCCCTTGTTTAATCCCCTACAGGACACAGACAGACCTGGGGTGGGCAGAGGAGGAAGATAGACGTAGGTGGGGAGGGGCTGCCCTCCCCCAGTCTCAAGGACGAACAGACAGCTCCAGAATTAGCCCTCTACCCTTTCCTTATCTCCCACACAACCCCAGGGTCAGGCAGAGGGGGGGCGTGGGTGACATTTCTCACCCCAGCAAAGTATATATAGTCAGAAAATCTGGTGAGAGTGGATGGAGTCCTGTCCACCAGAGAGGTGGGATACCAAATAATCCTACTCCCCCACCACCACCCCCACACACCAACTCTGCTGCCTGTAGGGCAGCTCTAAGCCTCAGTTCACCCCTTCCACTCTGTGTAAATGCGTAACACAGACAAGCCTCCCAGAAGCCAACTCCAGGTTCTGACGCTTACTCCGGGGGGGTGGGGGTGGGGGGTGGGGTTCCAGAACGCCCCACTCCCCACTCCCCTGCAAATCCCAGATCTTTTCTATCCCTCAGGGACAATCCGAGGCCCCCTACCTCCGCCAGGGGGCGCCTTGGGGCGGAGGTCCCACCTCTGGTTAGGCAGGTCTGACGCCCCGGTTAATGACATATTGGGGTTCGGGCAGCAACACAGAGGGTGGAGAGCTGCCTCGGCCCCCCGGCCCCCATCCCTGGGGCCGGGAAATGGTAGGCGCTCTAGGACACAGCCACTGAGAGGGACCCCGGATCCTTGCTCCGCTGCATTTCAGGCACCCTGGTCCCACATTCCCATCCCCCTCCTAATTCTTCTTTTTTTTTTTAGAAAATCATTTTATTGGGAGTAAGAACCCCCCTCCTAATTCTAACCCGAGACCTGAAGATTCAAACGAGGAGAGAGGGCAGGGCTAGCCGCCCAACCCATAGTCCGGGGAACCCCATTTCTCCCACGGTTCAGGGATCCAAGACCCCAGTTCTGCCCCAGGGTTCAGTCTGCCGAGCGACCACTTCCCCTTTCCCCACTTCCCCCCATTCCTAGGATTCTCGAGTCCCAGCCCCAACGTGTCCCAGGGACCAAGGTGAAGCAGCCCAACACTGAGAAAAAGCAGGCATCCGAGTCGCCTTTCCAACTTGGCGTCCGAGTTCACGCCTCCCAGGGACCCAGGTAACTGCGTATCCCCAACTCCGCCCCGGGATCCGGAGTCCCAGTCCCTTCTCAGTCCTCCCTGGGACCCGAGCGTCTACTTTTCCTGGCCCGCTGGACCCCGGGAGCGGAACTCACGGATCCGGGGCAGGTCCTGGCACCCACGGGTTTCCTCCGGCTCCGGCTCTGGCTGCGGGGAGCGGCGGACGGCGGACGGAGGACGGGGCGGGCACCGGGAACAGGTTAGACGACGTGACTCGGGCTGGAAGGAGGCGGGTCCGGGAGGGCAGGGGAAGCCGGGCTCGCCTCGAGCACCTTGGGACTTGTAGTCCCGGGGGACAGGTCGTTGGCCGGAGTCACTCCCAGCTGGATTCGGCTGGAGTCCATTCCACAGACATGGAAAGTGAGACCTCAGACGGCGACTTAGCCAGGAAGACGCGGGAACTTAGTACAGAACCCTGCTTCTCTGTGGCTGCAAGAGCAGTCTCCCCAGCCCCCGCCCCACCCCACCCCAGCCCAGAGACATCCTTCCAGAATGCAGGTTGGGACACCACCAAAGGGGTGGAAGGTTGGTTGGGGGGTGCGGGAAACCCACGTGTGCGCCACCACTAAGGTGAGAAAAGGGCCTCGCTAAATCAGTATTCCCCTGGACCCCTGGGTCTCAATCTCCCCGTGGGCAGGTAAACAAGGGCGGGTTGGGTCGCCGAGCAACAGCGCCCAGCGTAGGGGAACTGGGACTACAATCCCCAGCAGCAAGCGCGACAGACGGCCGGTCGCGCCGGCCACAGGCCCTCTGGGAGTTGTAGTTCGCGAGCCCGCCGGAGTAGCGCCCAGGCGTCTCGCCCACGCGCAGAACCTGGAGATCCCGGGTGGAGGGAGCGCTACCCCTTCCCCGGACCCTCCTAACCCTCCAGGAAAGCCGCTCCCGTCCCGGGAAGCAGGGGAAGGGGCGCCTCAATTGTAAAGGAGGATCCGGCCGAGGGGGGCCGGGGAGCGGCGCTGACACACCGGCTAGGAATGCAGTCGGGTCACCCTGTCTAGCCACCGTCTCACAGCTTCGCCTGCCGCCCGCCTCCCGCAGCGGGGTCCCGTGGGACGAGGTCTGGGCGCCTCCCCCCATACCCGTCTCCACGTGGCACTGTTTACACGGGCCCCAGAACGGGGAGCGGTCAGGGTTCCTACACTTTTGGGCGAAAGTCCCCAGGATCCGAGACGAAAACCTCCCAGGCCGTTACTGACGTCGTTTGATGCTCTGGCCCCGCCCTTCAAGCGCCCCGCCCCCTGTTTCCAGGGCTTGGGTCCGGAGGCTCCGCCCCCGGGTAGCAGCCCCGCCCCCTAGCGATTCCCGCTCCCAAAGCTTCGGTGCCCCGCCCCTCCCTGGTGAACCCCCTACCTTTATCTTTCCCACCTCTCCCACTCAAGTTTTGAACTTCTGAGGCATCGCGGTCTCCCCAACAGGGATTGCAACACGGGGAGCAAGCGCAGCGCCAAGACGACTCTCTCTGGAAGAATCCAGACCCATCAGTCGGCTGGTCTCCTAGGAGTTGAGCCCCCCCCCAGTGTAACTGCCCCTTTAAAGGCGGTATCGGGCCAACTCACCTCTGAGAGTCGGTGGGGAGAGACCTGCGGGGAGGGGGGCTCGAACTCCGGTCGAGAAGCGATCCAGCCGCTTTCGGGAGCTGATTTCCGAGAGTAGATCTTACGGTCACTTGTCCATTTGTGTGCAAGTGGGACTCGCCCCGCAAATTATCCACAGGACGAACAGACGCAGAGTGGCTCCCCCCACGAGCCTGCGCGCAAGGGCGCGCCCGGCTAAGCTCCACCCCTTCGGCTCCACGTGGTTCGCAGCCGTGCCCTGCGCGCGGGACACGGGCTTTTCGTGCGGGATGGAGCCCGGCGTGGCGGACGCGCCGGCTGGCGGTAGGTGGCTGCGGGACTAGCTGACCGGCCGCAGAAGGCGCGGGGGGCGGGCGGGGAGAGAAAGGCCACCTGGCTGGGAGAGTTTGGCCCGAGAGAAGCCACTTCCGGAGACTGGACTGGTGGAGAGGGTGCCTGTAGTGGGGTGAAAGGGGCGCCCTGGGTGTCACCAGTGGGGTGACACGGATTTCGGGCACTGAGGCGGAGGCTGGTGGACCGAGAGGAACCTTGGCTTAGCAGTGGTTCTCAACCTTCCGAATACCGCGCCCCTTTCATGCAGTTCATGTGGTGGTGACCCTCCCCCCCAACCATCAAATTCTTTTCTTTGCTACTTCATAACCGCCATGTTGCAACTGTCATGAATCGGGCGACCCCTGTGAAAGGGTCGTTTGACACCCCCCAGGGGGTCGCGCCCCACAGGTTGAGAACCGCTGGCTTAGAGGATCAGACGGGCAGGAAAGTGTCAACAGACCACCATTTCCTCTTCGCCCGCAGGTGCGGCGCGGTTCTCTTGTCCCCCCAACTTTGTCGCGATGCCCCCAGCCTCAGAGCACCCTCGTTTCTCCCTGGAGGCGCTGAAGGGCCCGGATACGGAGCTGTGGTTCATTCGTGCCCCTGCGGACTTCACCCCTGACTGGTGAGAGGCCCCTGGGGCAGGTCTCTC